TAGAAGAAAATACAAAACATTAAACATGTTAACAACACAAAAGCCATATTAAACGCAGACTACTTTAGGCCCGGAAGTAGGATTCGTCACGTCATCACTGAACAACCGGATTGCAAAGAGTGCTGGAGTGCATTTTTTATGACCAGTAACACGCAGGAATACACGTTTATCCCTAGCAACATGTGGCTGTCAGGTCTGTGTGACTGGGGCAAACAATGATCCATTGGAGTAATTAGTCTTTAAAAGGGACAAGTATTCTGAGAATGAAGGGCTACAATATTCTCCCGTTGATGTGGTGCATCATGAGTGTTTGTGTTACATCAAAAATAAACAGCAAAAAGTTCTTAAATGCCAATTTTGACTGTTTGACACTGTTCCTGTCCCAAAATACTTGTTTATAAATGTAACGTATTTATAACAGATGCAGGATCAGACATGTATTAACATTTCCTTATATAAGGTGAGCACACAGAGGTCAAAATACATCATCCGAAATTGTCTTTCAAGTGCACCAGCAGTGGCTGACACATTACAAAATCTTCATTTTAAATTTTTAATGGCACCTTCATTAGACCAGACAGCATAATTTGTAAGAATGCTAGATGTAGGTGACCTTGCAAAGAAGGAATTAGGGCTTTTTAAATGCCCAATCAGTGTAAATACTTTTCCAACAATGCACTATCCCTTCAGTTGTTGCTAATTGGGTCCAACTTACTATGCAAAAACTTCTTCAAGTCCCATCAAACAGAAATTTAAAAAGTTGTGAGACCTGTGGGGGGACAGCTCACCTCAGAGAGCACTTTCCTTGCATCCAGGTTTTGCAGGAGTACTTGCTGGGTGTTAATCAGCTGCTGTGGAGTCAGGGAGCAGCTGACATTCTGAAAAGCCTTCTTTTCAGCTTGGCTTCTAAATTGGACATACTGATCCAGATCTGTCCCCTCACACAGGATGCTCCTCAGGCTGTCTGGCCTCAGGATGCCCATCATCTGAAAAATAAACAACAGCCTCGGCAAAAGTTGGCAAACAGAAGAACTTTGGATCTGACCATATTTTATTTAATTATGTGTAGTATCCTTTGGGTTGCTGTGCAAGCAGATGGTATGCTAAATCGCTTTTCGGAACAGGAGCTAAAATACTGCTTTGATTTTAAATGTGTTTTTAAATCCACAGATATTTATACAAAAAAAGCAGAACTTCATGCACCACAGTGGCAAAAGCAAAAAGTGTGATAGACACAAACAATAGCAAGCACACGTAAACTTCTGTAAGATCTTTATCTTCCTGTCCACACTGTATTCAGGTGCTACCAGAGCCCACTTCATCTTTTTTGATAAGACTTGCTATCAGACGAAGAACATTTGCAGACAACTGTGATTTCTACTGCAGCCGGCTTTAAATTACATTTTGTCAAACAAAAACTTGAGAACACTTTGATTACGATGTCAGAAGGAGCGCCACCTGCTGTTTCACCCTCATCTTTCCGAGTGCAGCGCTTGCAGCGCATTTGCTGTTTTGAACTTTTTTAGTAAAATCTAAATTCCTCTATTTACAGAAAAAAGCTGTTGTCCCATATTCCTAATTAGCTGGGATTCTTAACACACTACCACCGTGCTGGTAGCGATACTTACTGGATTGATCTGAATCCGGGCATTCATGAGGCTTTCAGCCACCGCTGTTGGCACCGATAAATCTTGTTTCAGATGTGTGGAGAAAGTTTCATTGTCTCGTAGAATATTCCTCAGGATGACTGGATGAGTTTAAAGAGAAAAATAGAGTTAGTGTTACTTTATTAAAAAGCTGCTGTTTTATATGCATCAACATTTGATTGGCTCCTTTTTGACACAAGCCTTGTTTTGATAGCTTTGGCTATGAGTCCTCCTCGCTCACCATCTGCACTGCAGATATTCTGCAGCCAACAGGCTGTATGTCTCTGCCTCCGTTCTGTGTTTGGTTTCTATACTACTCTAAACAAATGGGAATGCATGCAGAAATCTGTGCGCCGAGTGTGCCATTTGCCCTAATGGACACCAATGCCAAACATGAAGGAGAGCCAAACCTAACAGGGTAGCAGCCCTTTCACCATGGAAGGTCAGTCCACACAAAGCACCAGAGGATTTATTCTGTTGTTGAAAGGACAAGGTTAAAGCTTAAGTCTCTGTCTTCAAAATCACTGCAGTGCAGCCAGTGAGGAAAATGTTACACTACAACATTAAATCTATAAAAATAAGAAAACCTCCTGTGTATCTCTATGTGTGCAGGTCTCAGAACAAAGTGGAAAAGCAGGAGCGAAGACTCTGATTTGGTTTTGTTATGCCTGTTGCTTTGAGTGGCATTACAGCCTGATAAATTTCAGTTTAAATGAGATGACAGTTGCAATTAAATCCTTCACTGGCACAAGTAGGGGGTGAACACTTGAGCTGCACGAGTGTGTGAGGGGAGACAATTTGTTGCTAAACATGTACCAGATTGTTAACCAGCCATTTTCTCCTGATTAGCAGCCAACAGATAGCATTTAAAAAAAGAGGACGTTTCTAAACCAGTCCTCGCTGCACGCTGACAGTCACCGTAGCAGGGATCCTGCTAACAACACCATACTATTCAGCATGCACTCTCTGCTTGCTGGGCCTCCAACATTTGCGACTGACGCGGAGGGCCGGGGGTGGAGGGGGGGTGAGGGAGGGGGACATAATGTAATTAAATGGTCACTTTTGTATTTGTACTACAGGCAAGTCAGTCAATTATCTGGATGGGGGAGGAAAGGGAGGAAGTCACTTGTGCCGGGCCATTCAGGGTTCAATTAGTATGAATGTTTGGTGAAAATAACTGGAAATAATTACACACTTTGATACACTAAGCTAACCTTATACAAGGCCTCGCGTCTCCCGCTGAGCACATATTATTATGCTCCCCCATCACTACAGGGGCATCAGGAGGGACTGACAGGGTTAGATTACGAGGAAGCAGAACATGCTCCGCGCTCTTCCCGAACACCGTTGGCTTTCTGATTGAGGAGACCACCGGAGTGTTTTTAATCAACCCGTGGATTTAAAAAAAAGAAAGAAACAAAGAGGAGGACAACACAATCACCTTTGCTAGCGTAGTGTTTTGATAGTACTCCATTCCCCATTCTTGTTAGTGACCTTTTGTGCTCCCGCCTCAGACAGCGAGTCCCATTAATTACACCCCGGCTTAGATCTCTGATGGATTTAATCTTGTATATTACAAGCCAGCGACCCCTAAATGCAAATGGCCCACGAGCCGTTTGTTGAACAGCAGAAACCTCGCTCCCCCCTCACCCGCCCACCCCCGCTTTGCCTTTTTGCAAATTAGGTGCTGTATGAAAATCTGAATATCATCAGGCTAAATGAGCCTAATGCAAAGCAGCAACTTATCAAGACAAACGATCTGTCAGTCTGGATGGCAAATTGCATCATAAATAATCACACGCCATTGTTTTTGAGGGATAAAGGGGAATAACAAATCCTCCAACTTGTCATCCTCATGAAGGGGATACTTTTCTTGATGGAGAGTACTTAACAAAGGCAAAGCAGAGTGATTGTTGCTGATGCTGATTATTTATTATATCAATTATATTTTGAAGCATTAGTCAGTACCAGCAAAACTCTGATGCCTAAAAAGAAAAATGCACCCCTTGACCTTGTCGCTCGTCACCAGTTTCTGCAGTATTTCCTGATAATGGCTTCAAAATAGGTTTTTGATATAGCTCATCAAGATTTCAATAATCAAATGACCATTAGCGGTACCACTGAACTTACCATTAGCGGAGTTAGGCTGTGACAAAATTGAAGCCCACTGGTCAACACCATTTGCTAGCAGCTGGGCCCTGCTGAGAATAGATTTGTCCACCAGGGAAGTTTGCAGCTCTATCAACATCCCAGAAATTCTGGTGAATTGAAAAGAGAAAAAACAAACATTTACTCTAAATGTTCTTAAAAATATCAATATCAACAGTTTCTAATCTAAGCGCAGTGCATCACGCTAAGAGACATGAAGAATGCACATCATTTTTTGACATCTACGTGGTAGTGTCTTGTGAAATTGTCCCCCAGGATGAGACGGTAAAACTGCGACATATGCTAGTATGCTAACGTGTGCAAATTCAAAATGTGGGACATTTACGGAGTGATTGAATTATCTAAAAATAGTTGCTGTGCAGAAAACTGTCCAGAGGTGCACGAGAAGATGATCTTGAACAGAATATCAGCCAAATCAGCTGAGCTTTAGATTTTTAGTGGCTCATTCCCAAAATTTTGTAATCATGCCTCGTTTATAAATTCCTAAAAGACAGAAAAAGAACATCCCAGTACATACATGGAGTTGTCGAAGTTATTGACTTGGCCTGGTGTCTCTCCTGGAGTTGGATAAGGCAAACAGGGATTTTCAAGGTTGCACACCATACCCTGAATCCAGGGAATCACACCAGCTGATGGCATGGCTTTATTAGGGTAGTGACCTTTGAAAGGAATAGAGATGAATACTTATTAATCTAACCATGTTCATGACATTTCTTTTTTCTTGTCCAAAATCTGCAAAAAGTTGACGAGTTAAAAGTTGTTAATGGATTCACAAAACAAAATGTATTATTGCAACTAGGCTTGTACTTACATTGGCCTTTGTAAATTGGTTGCGTAGTGGTCCGCACCCCCACCAGTATGAAGAAGAGAAACAGAGGCCACAGTATTTCAATGACCAGTCGCACCTACACAAAGGAAAAGGTATTTTCATTTGATTAATTTGCTGTGAATGATAGCGTGTCTAAATCTACTGATTTCTTTGCTTGCTTAGCAAGTATATTAGCTTACCTATATCAGGTTAGCTTAGCTTAGCAAGTATATTAACTTAACTATAGCAGGTTAGCTTAGCTTAGCAAGTATATTAGCTTACCTATAGCAGGTTAGCTTAGCTTAGCAAGTATATTAACTTACCTATAGCAGGTTAGCTTAGCTTAGCAAGTATATTAGCTTACCTATAGCAGGTTAGCTTAGCTTAGCAAGTATATTAACTTACCTATAGCAGGTTAGCTTAGCTTAGCAAGTATATTAGCTTACCTATAGCAGGTTAGCTTAGCTTAGCAAGACAATAAAGCTTAAAATACAAACTTTTTTTTACCCCTGGTTTGGTATGGATTAAATTAATGAGATACCAGCTTATTTTATTACCTCTGGACAGAATCAGGGTAGCTGTTAAATATTAGGTCTCTCTCCTCCAAGTCTCTGTTAGTACATGACTTAATAATTGATCAACAAATTGATTTACTCTGCCTTACATAAACCTGGTTGCAGCAGGATGATTATGTTAGTTTAAATGAATCAACACCCCCGAGTCCTTCTAACTACCAGAGAAATCTCAAAGCACAGGCCAAGGGGGCGGTGTGGCAGCAATTTTTCACACCAGCCTATTAATTAAGGAAAGACCAAGACATACTTTTAATTCATTTGAAAGCCTGATGCTTAGCCTCGGCCACCCCAGCTGTGAAACTCAGAAACCAGTCTTACTTGTTATCATCTATCGTCCACCTGGGC